CTCACCACTATGTAGCCCAGGCTGCCCTCAGATTTCTGATGATCCTCCTGCCTCAGCCTCCCCAGTGCTGGCATTACAGGTGTGCACAACCATGCCTGACTAGAGTGTATATTCTTTTTTTTTTTTTTTTGTCTTTTTGAGACAGGGTCTCGATATGCAGCTCAGGCTGGCCTTGAGCTCACTTTGTAGCCCAGGCTGGTCTCGAACTCGGAACGATCCTCCTGCCTCATCCTCCTGAGTGCTGGGATTACAGGCATGCGCCACCACATCCGGCTGTTTAGAGTGTATATTCTAAACTCAGGTAGAACATACTTGATAGTGGGGTGTGTAACCATGATGGAGGAGCCAAGCTTTTCATAGTTTTTCAGGTTAGCAGAACACTAAACAAAACCAAGTCCAATTGGGTCACATTAGCACCAAAGGAGAACACTTGGAGAAGTGTTAGAAGTCGAAGACAAATACTAAGTGACACAGGAGAGTCACAGTGGTCTTTGGCTGCAGTGAGCAGAGATGGATCGATACATAGAAATTTCAGGAAAGCCAATTTCCATTAATCATGGGGCCCGAGCCAGCCCTCTCAGCTCTCTGGGGAGACATGGCTCTGAGTGGTTTCAGACAAACAAGCAGCAGGGGTTTTAAGGAGCAGAGTCTCGCCCTAGGAGGAAGATGGGGCAGTTAGCTAGGCAAGTGGCACACACTTGTGATCCTAGTGCTTGGGAGGCTGAGGCAGGAGGACTGTGAGTTTGAGTCCTGCCTGGGCAACTTAGCAAGGCCCCGTCTCCAAGTACAACAATCAAAAGGGCTGTGGATGTAGCTCAGTGCAAAGGCCCTGGGTTTGAGGGCCTGTATTGCTGAAAACAAAACACAAGAAAACAAGGAAGGCAAAAGATTCCCAAGTCCCTGTATTTTGCAGGATTGTGTGGTGGAAGCAGGACAAAGGTCACAGGTCACGCTACCTGGACAGAGGATCTGCTTCTGGGTCCTGGATGAAGGGTATTCCTGGCCCTTAGTTTGCATTGTATGTGCTAGGAGTTGAGCGATTTCTAAGGTGTCTAGGTTGGAACTTTGGAGTCTGAATTTCTCCTTAATCCCTTGCTCCCAGGAGGGCTTGAGGCTTTTTGTGCCCTGGGTCAGGTGCTGTCCCAGTCCACCGGTCCCCGGGGACTGGCGGCTGGGTAGCCCCAGCCTGTACCTTCTCGTGTGAAGGCTGAGGGCAATGCCAGGCTTTGGGCTGCGTGGAGACACTGTCTAAGAGTCCCTGGCTGGAGACACTGTCCCTGGAGCACAGGTGCCTGGACCAGGGCTGGGGCAGGCGGTCCCGTGCCAGGCTGGCAGGTGTGGGGCACCCGGGGCTGCAGTCCAGAGCCTGGGCCGAGGGCAGGAATCCTGCAGTTTGATCCTGGCTCCTAGCTCAGCTGTGTGGATTCTGCCTCTGGGAGCCTCAGTTGTCCGTTTTTAGTGATGGAGTGCGCTAGGACCAGCAAGGTCAGCAGTAGGAGGGGCGCGGGGCTGGGCCTTCGGGGGCAGGGCCAGGTGGGTCGGGGTGGGGCGGAGCGGGGAGCTGGGGTGGGGAGGGCCCCGGGGGAGTTAGGGGTGGTGATGGCCGCAGCTCACCTTCCCAGCCTGAGGGCCCGCCTGGCTTCTCTCCGGCAAGGTGATGAGTAATGGGCTTTGGCGGCACGCCAGGCCTCCTCTCCTCGCAGAGACGGCACGGGGCGCTGCTGAGTCCCCTGGCCAGTGCGGCCATCCGCACCCCAAGCTGCCCGGGGCTCGCGCGGCGCCCCTTCCCTCAGCCTCCGGCCCGGTGCCGGTGCCGGTACCGGTGCGGGTTCCAGTTCCGGCCCTGTGGCCCTTGCAGCCTGTTCCTTTCCCATCTGTAGGGTGAGAAACAGCTGTCCTTGCCTGACTGGGACCCGGACCATGCCTGGGACCCGGCACACCCTGCTCTGTGTCCCAGTCCCTCCTGGGGAGGAGGTCTTTTACAAAACTGAAGGAAGAGGGGCTGGGGATGTAGCTCAGCGGCACAGCGCCTGCCTGGCAAGCGCGAGGTCGTGAGTTTGATTCCCGGTACCGGAAAAAAACAAAAAACAGAAAACAAAACAAACAAACAAAAAAAGGCAAAACTGAAAGAAGAGTTGGAAAAACCAGACAGTGGCCTCCTGTGTCCCTCACCTGGATTCGCCAGTTCGTGTTTCCCCTGCGGCCTCTAACTACTCCGCGTCTCCTCCCTGTCCTGGGTGCGAAAGCTCGGCCCTGTCACAGTGAGCCGCAGACGACAGCGTCCTTTCCCCTGCAGGGCTGCAGCACGCTCTCACGGTGTGACAGTGTCCTGTGTGATGATGCAGTGCCTGCGTTCTTCAGAAGCCTTCAGTGTTTGTTAGTTTGCTTTTGGTGGTACTGGGGTTTGAACCCAGGTCTCACACAGGCCGGGTAAGTGTTCTGCTGCTAAGTTCCATCCCCAGCTCCTTTTCTTTTCTTCCCTTTCCCTTCCCTTCCCTTCCCTTCCCTTTCCCTTTCCTTTCCCTCCTGCCTCAGCCTGCTGAATACTTGGGATTATGGGTGTGCGCTGCCACACCCAGCGAAACCTTCAACACTGATGTAATACTACTGCGGTGGTTTCCCAGGGCTGCCCTGACAAGGTGCCACACACTGCTTGGCTTAAGGAACAGACAATTCTTTTCCTCACAGTTTTAGATGCCGAAGTCCAAGATCCGGAAGTTGTTGAGTTTGGTTTCTCTTTGAGTAGATGAGGGTCTGCCATAAAGATCTCCTGACTGCAGGACCTGTCTAAAGACTGCATCTTCAAATAGCACGGCCTTCTGGAGAACCGATGGTTAGCGTTTCAGCATAAGCATTTTGGGTTGAGGACAGGGATAGTGTTAAACCGTAATAAATATTGTTACCCAGTGGGTGGTCCCTGTTTATTTTTTTGAACCCAGGCTTATCCACTGAGCTACAGTCTGGCCCTCTTTTTATTTTTTATTTTGAAACAATAATAACTTTGAAACAATATTTTGAAACAATAATAGCCTTGCTAAATTGCCCAGGCTGGAATCCAGTGTGTGATATTCCTGCCTCAGCCTCCCAGAGTGCTGGGATTACAGCTGTGTGGCACCTTGCCTGGCTTATAGACCACATGTAAATGCGCCGACTGTCCCAGTCATGTTGCTTGTGCCATTCCTCCCTGCTCCATGTGTCACAGGTCTCCCATGAGCTCTGTAACCTGCAGTTTCTTGGGAGAGTAAAGGAGACTTCCGGGGGCAGGAGGCCGGGGTGTGAGCGGGAATCAGGGCTCAGAAGCTGTCTGGGGATTGGTTCTAGTGTGTGGGCAGCCTTCCTGGCTTTTTTTTTGATGTCAGAAGCACCAGCAGGTGACATGGGGTACCAGAACCAGAGCTGCGATCTGTGGCCAGCACCTGCTCGTGTGCGGCTCAGCCAGCACCCCACCTCTTCCTTGCTGGGCTGGTCACCTTTCCTTGTCACCTTGGGCCTGTCACTTCCTTTCCTACGGAATGTGTCCCGATCTGCAAAACACAGCTGGTACCACAGACAGTAGCGCTCAACGTTTTTCAGAGCATCCCTGCCATGGGATTAATAAAAACCAGCCACCTGGGGCGTTCCTGTGACCGGAAGTCGTTATGCTGAACCCTTCCTGGGCACTGGCTCGCTTCCTCCCCATGGAACCGCTTGCCATCATTGTTCCCATCTTGTGGATGTTGAAACAGGAGCGAGTGATTAATCTGAGGCCGCAAACTTGTAGATGACAGACGCTGCACCCTGGGCTCGTTGTCCCCGTCCTTGCCTATGGTAGCTAAATTACCACCCAGGACCGAGTGTTGAAGCAGCTGCTTCTATCAGCACAGAGTGACAGGTGGCTGCCGTCACTGATGTTGAGGTACAGAGTTGGAGCACCGTGCTGAGACTTCTCCCTGAGGGTAGGGAAGGGCCCGGCGTGCCCCTGGTGGGGGTGGGGAAACCTTGATCAGAGTTGGTTCGGTGCCAAGGTGAAGCAAATGGTGACTTCCAGGCAGCCATGTCTGGCTGCAGACCTTCGTGCTGCTGGGGTTTCAGGTTCATGTGCAAGTATAGAGCAGTGGAAGTATTCAAGACTACCACTCGACTTTTGTGAATGCTGATTTTGCTGGGTATGGTGGTGCACACCTGTGATGCCAGCACTTGGAAGGCTGAGGCGGGAGGATTGCCTGAGTTTGAGGCCAGCCTTGGCTACCTAGTGTGATCCTTTCTCAAAAGTAAATAAAAGAAAAAGTAAAAATTAAATAAATAAAAGATCCTAACCTTTAATTTTTTTTAAATGTTGGTAAACTTTAAACTTTCTACCTTAGGTGTGCTCAGACACTGGTGACAGATGTGTTTTTGTAATCTTCCCAAGAGACTTTTTTTTTTGGTCTTTTTGAGACAGGGTCTCATGATGCAGTTCAGGCTGGCCTTGAGCTCACTTTGTAGCCCAGGCTGGTCTCGAACTCACAGTGATCCTCCTGCCTCAGCCTCCTGAGTGCTGGTGTTATAGGCATGCGCCACCATGCCTGGCCCTCAAGAGACTTTTGTCGGGCTGTTTCTCCAGCCTTTAGAGCACACGCTTTCGAGGAGCCCTGGCCTCCCTGAGACAGAGAGCATGTTCTGCCTGTCACTGCCCAGAGTGCAGGGCATAACGTGACAGCCTCGCCCAGCCTTGGCGTGGGGACCCCACGGCCCTTCTGGGTGCCGGTTTGGGGAGAACTGCAGCGCGATGGCAGGCTAATGGCGCCTGTGCCCACATTTCTGCACTGTGGTGCTCCTCTGTGACGAAGGACACCAAAGACAAAGGAAAGCAACTGCCATTTTCGGAGGCTAAAGATCAGGGGCCGACAGGTGTCCCAAACCCACGAGGTCACGTACTCGAAGAACAGTTTTCTGTGCTTTTCTCTTGCCAGCTTGACTTCGGGAAGGAAGGAAGGGAAGGACTCTTTACTGTCCTGGAGTGAGTGCTTCACATGGGGATTGGGAAGGCCAGCTTTGGTGTGGATTTGGGTTTTTTGAGGGGACAGGGTCTCGCTCCGTAGTGCAGGCTGGCCTTGAACTCGTAAGTGCTAGGATTATGGGCATGCACAAGTATGCCCACTCTTGCCTTTTTCTGCAGCCTTCCTCCAGTTCTCAGGATCCCATCTGCAGGCCCCAGGGCAAGTGGAGTGCCCAGAAAGGCCTGGCTGGCTTGCCAAAAGGGTGGGGAGGAAGTGTAAACTTCTCCTCAGCCTTCCTGAGTTCCTAGCTGAGACCCCCGCTGTAACGGACAGGTTGATACGTTTAGGGAAGTGACCAAGGAAAGCGGTATAAACTTTCAGAGGTGGAGAACTGGAAAGAAAAGTCTATGGGAGGAAATGAGGAGTGGGGTGGCTGCAGATTCCTGTCTCTGAGCTGCAAAGTGTTGCTTCCAGTGATTCTGTTCTGGTAGGGGCGGAAACAGGGACACCTTTCAAAATGTGTGTCCCAGCCAGGCGTGGTGGTACACGCCTATAATCCCAGCACTTGGGAGGCTGAGGCAGGAGGATTGTTGCAAGTTTGAGACCAGCCTGGGCTACAAAGTGAGCTCAAGGCCAGCCTGAACTGCATAGCGAGACCCTGTTTCAAAAAAAAAAAAAAAAAAAAAAAGTGTGCCCTGGCTTTAGGCCAACTGGGGAGGGCAGAGAGCCTTTGCACCTGCCTCTCTTTACATCAGAGACACATATTTGGGGTGATGTATTCTGGTTCCCTTCAGCTCTTGGGTATAGAAGTGGCGTTAATGCATGCAGGGTTGTGCATACAAATGTTTTCATTCCTCCTGGTTGAATATCTAAGTGTGGAATGACAAGGTTGTACAGCAGGTGTATGCTTCCTGTGTGGGAGATGCTTGCTGTGTGGGAGACGCTTGCTGTGTGGGAGACTGCTATCCACGTTTCCAAAGCTTTTTAGTACCATTTACATTCCCATCTGGATAGAAAAGATTTCTGTCCTATCTCCAGCAGCACTTGGTATTGTAAGTCTTTTTACTTCGACATCTTCTAGAAGGGAAGAGGTTATCTCATAGTTTTAATTTGTGTTTCTCTAATGACCAGGGATGCTCAGCATGTTTTCTTTTTCCTTCTTTTCTTGTTGAACCCGTGGCCTTCACACTGAGTAACATTCCCAACCCTTGTTTGGTTTTTATGTAGAGGCAAGGTCTCTCTAAGTTGTCCAGGTTGGGCTCCAATTTGGAATCCTCCTGCCTCAGCCTCCCAAGTACTCCAGGTGTGCGCCCCCACACCAGGCAAACGACACCATCTCTTTGTCTGCAGTGGACCCTGGGTTGGTTCTGGGTCTTCGCAGTTGTGGACAGTGCTGTGGAGAACATGGGGTACAGGTGTCCGGTGATGTGCTGCTTTCCTTTGCTGTCTTTGAAGTGGTTAGGGCTGTTTCCTTTTGGGTTATAGGAGGTTTTAGAGAAATAAAATTGTAGATGTTAGCCTACTGATAAACGAAAGTATTGTAAATATTTTCTCACGCTTTGTGACTTGCCTTTTCATTGTTTCAGCAGCATCTTTTGAAAAAAGTTTTAATTTTGACAAAGCCCAGTTTATCAGCATTTCCTTTTTAAAATTACTTTGTTTTGTTTTGTTTTTGTCTTTTTGAGCAAAGTCTCGCTATACAGTTCAAGCTGGCCTTGAGCTCACTTTGTAGCCCAGGCTGGTCTCAAACTTGCAATGATCTTCCTGGCTCAGCCTCCTGAGTGCTGGGATTATAGGCATGCACCCCCACGCCCAGCTCCTTTTTAAAATCAATGTTTTTTATAAAAAAAATTAATATCTTTTGTGCCCTTCACCTACTATAAGGTTTCAAAAAGCTTTTTTCCTTCACTACATTTTCCTCTACAGGTTTGGAGTTTTACTTTTTTTAAAATTGGCCTTTATTGATACATTTTAGATATACATAACAATCACATTCATCCCAGAGAATTTGTACCTGTACCGGATAGAACTGGGTTTCCCCCATTTCCCTCCCCTCCCTTCCTTCAACCCTTCCTCCCATCCCTGTTTACAAGCTTTATTTCTATTTTTTCTTTTTTTCCCCTTCTTTCCTTTCCCCCTTTCATCTCCCTTTTTCCCCTCCCAATTTGAATATTTTCACCGCTGTGCCCCGTGTGGAGTTTTACATTTTTAAAGTTGTGGTCCATTTCTAATTAATTTTTATGCATGATAGGAGATAGGGGTTGAAGTTGTTGGGTTTTTTCTAACCAAATGTGTCTTGTTCCGCTGCAATTTGCACTGGTTGTGTGCACGCCTAATTCTGCACTCTCTTCTTTCCACTGAGCTGTACAGCTGTTTGAGCCCAGTCTTGATTATGGTAGCTTTATACAAAGCTTTAAAATCAGGGAGGGGGCCTGGAGATATAGCTCAGTGGCATAAGCACTTGCCTGGCAAGCCTGAAGTCATGAGTTTGATTCCTGGAACGCCCCCCAAAAAATAAATAAAAAAAATAAAATTTCCAAGAATAATCAAGAAAATATAGATGCTGTATAATACAATGTCTTTCCTCAGCTAGAGGGAAAAAAAATAAAATCAGGGAGGATAAGTTCACCAACTTTGTTCTTTGTCAAAATTGTTTTGGCTGTCCTGGGCCTTTTGTGTTTCCATGTGCTTTTTTTTTTCTTGGTCTTTTTGAACAGGGTCTCAACTATGCAGTTCAGGATGGCTTTGCACTTACTTATGCAGGCTGGCCTCCAACTCACAACAATCCTTCTGCCTCAGCCTCCTGAGTGCTGGGATTATGGGCATGTGCCACCATGCCTGGCAATTCTAAAAGACTGTACGGCGTCATTTACCCACCTTCCCGTAGGTGTTCTCAGTGATTTCACCTGGGTTCCCATTATCAGTGATACCAAGGGAATCGGTGTGCTCCTTTTGCATTTGCCCTTGCTTAGCAACTATGCCTGTGGTCCCAGCACTCGGGAGGCTGA